AGAGACGGGTGCAAAAGTCACCGGGGCTTTTACAGCAGCCTAAGTAGGAACATGCTGTATGAGGTATCTTCTAGTGCTACACAGGCCAGCATCAGCTTCTGAGTAGTAATGCAAGAATGAAACTCCTCCAGGAGCCAATTTCATTGAAGACAGCAAGCAGGGAGGTTATCAGAAGTTTATAAATATGGTGCTTGCAGTAACAAGTTATTGGGTGCTGTGACTGAGACTGGTGTGAGAGCACGCTCCTTCCCTCATAATGTGCTCCTCTTAAACCCTTTCTTGTTGCAAAATGGGTTAGGATCAAAAGAGACAGAGACTATATTGAAAGAGAAAGTAATTCTCGCAGGCAGCTCCCTCCATGGGCAGAATTAAACAACGGTGTTAATGAGGGCTGCAACGTGGGCAGGGACCCTGCACCAGCTGGAAAAGTTAAACCTGAAGCCCTGGGGAGATCATAAGGTGAGACCTGAAGCTAAATCAAAGGGAAATGCACCTTAAAAACCTGCAAACAGAATTTCAGCAACGGAGAAATGAATTATGGAGGAAAGCGTCAGCCCTAAGCACTGCAGAGCTGCGAGCCAAGGTCAGCCCACAGGCACTTGCATGAGTCTGATTGAAACATTCCGGGAAGGAGGTAACCGTGAAGGGAAGGGAGGGTATTTTGACTCCTCCGGTGCCAGTTCCCAGAGGAAGACGTACCCTTCCTCCCCTTTAAGGAGGAATTGTGGAGCATAAAGCCAAAAATGCTGAGTGCCCGGAAGGCCTTTGGATCTGCCTGCCCAGCAAGTGTCAGCTTAACAGGGATGCATCAGGGATGAAGGCCCATCTAGCTCCAGATAGTCCTCAAGGACACATGAAGGTCTTAGCAGATATGGGAGTATGCATTTTAGCACTAACACGAGAAGCTGGGTGGGCAGTCTGGGCAGCAAAGAGTTAAAATTCCTGGTGTGAATGGAGCAAGTGGTGTGTGCCAAGGTCAGTTCATGGCTCCTGGGCAAAACGTGCGCGTTGGAAGTTTGCTTTGCCATTGAAGATCATCAGGAAAGTATTTTCAGTTTCCTCATTTTAAATGGACAAGCCTGGAGCCTGCTGAATGGCAGCGTTTGCTCCTGTGGCCCCAGTAGAAAAGGGCTCCTGTACTTGGCACTGCCCCTGCACTCCCCGATTTCAATAATCCTCATGTACCCTAGTATCTGATTTCTCTTGCAATGCTAAATGGAGTTTCTTAAGTCATAACTGATTTGGGGAAGGGACAAATTGTCTCCAGACCCTGCTCCCCAGGTAACTCGCATGCCTGGCCTGTTCGGCATCAGGCAAGAGGTGGTGTCCGATAATCGGCCTCTGAACACTAACACAACCCTGCTGAGAGCTGCTGTACCAAATACTGTAACCCTAACATTATTTTCTATCATTTCCTGTTCATTATATTTGCTCTTAGAGAAAGGCAAACCCTCATGGTGGAAATGAGAGCATAAAGAGGCAGTCACAGCTCTCAGTGAAGAATCCAAAAATTAAAAAATTAAATCAATCGCTGGGAGCAGGACACCCGCATGGCCCTAGGACAACCCAAAGGGCTTTCACCGAACCCCCCAGTTACTGCAGCCTGCTCCAAAGGGGCTCAAGAGAACAAAAAGACAGTTATAGTTTGCACTGGAATGGACCATCCTTGTCCGAGGCGTCCACGGACACCCTGCACGGACGGGTAGACGGTAGGTGGCAATATAAGGCCATTGCATTCCGTGTTCCCAGCGGCTGGAAGAAGGACAGCACGGTGCTCGAGTAGCAGAAATCAGAGCAGTTATTTTAGCAGCACGTAGGGTCCTGTGAAGCAAAGAGAGCCCTGGTTTGGAGACACCAAGATGGGCAGTTCTTATGAGGCAGAAGCAGGAAATCACTTTTCCAAATGGGAAGGGGAAAGGCTCATGCTGAGGCTAATTGAATAGCCACAGTGTGGAATCAAAAAGTAGATATAGATGTTTAGGTTTAATTAAAATTTGAAATAAATCACCCTAAATTCCTTATGGTACCTGAGGGAATGGTGCCCTCCAAACTGAGGTTCCCCAGCTAAGGAAGGGTATCTCCCGGATACTGATACCTCCTCATGGGACTGGAAATAGATGTTTTTTGACATGGAACAAAATCTTTATCATTTTGAAATGCATCCTGATGAAGCCCTGAAACTGTTCTTAGGAGTTTGTATGAGAACCTTTTGCAATTTTATAGCTATCAGTGTTATATATTTATAGTTCTCACTAGATGCCAATGAAAATTTGCCACAATGCAGTGACCTGTGTCAGCTGCTGAAAGGCATCCGAAAAGAAGGCAAAAAACCTTGACCATGGTTCATCATGATCCAGAAGAAATACACTGTGTTCCAGAAAGAGGGGGAAAGGAGGGAGAGCATCTGTGGTGGGAAATTCTTGCATGGTCACCAACAGCAGCAGGAATTTTTAAGCTCCTGGGTTAAAGCTCCTGGATCTGGAGATCATGCAGTCCAACCCCTGCTCCAGCAGGGACACCCAGAGCATGGGGCACCCAGTTGCATCCAGGTGGGTTTGGAAGATCTCCAGGGAAGGAGACTCCACAGCCTCCCTGGGCAGCCTGTGCCAGGGCTCTGAACCCTCACAGTGAAGTTCTTCCTCACGTGGGGATGGAACTGCCTGTGCTTTAATTTATACCCATTGCCCCTTGTCCTGGCCACCACTGAGCAGAGTTGGGCCCCATCCTACTTACATTCACCCCTCAGATATTTGTTTATTGACCAGATTTCCTCTCAGCCTTCTCTTCTCCAGGCTCAACAGGCCCATCTCACTCAGTCTTACCTCATACAACCGACGCACCGGTCCCTTAATGATGGCTGGACCCTCTCTGGAACCTCCTCGTCCCTCCTGTCCTGGGGAGCCCAGAGCTGCACACCGGCCCTCACATACAGTTAGTTATGGAACTGTTCTAGGTGAGGAGAATCCCTCTTCCCTCACGGGAAGAGGAAGGAGCTGCTTCTGAGCCAGGCTGGGCTGGGTCCGTAGCAGAAACCTGCCCAAAACCTGGGGAAAGGAGAAGTGCTCTCTCAGCTCCCGGTGCTCTCTGCTCTGGCCTGCAGCTTGCGGGATCCAGCTGCCCTGAGCAGGAATCAAGGTAAGGGGAAGAACCTGGAGCCCCCAGGGGCTTGGGCAGCTGCTTTGGTGGAGAAGGGGACAGCGAGGAAGCCGTGGCCCCAACAAGACTCGGCTGGTGGCAGCAGCTCCAGCCCGCTCGTGCCACAAACCAGAGCTCTGCTTGATGGAGAGCTGGTTTAGTGAGGGCTCAACTGGAGCATCCCGGGCTCTAATTTTGGGGGCAAGGGAAACACTAAAATATTCTTGGCCATGGAGCCAAGATGAGCCAAGGCGTGGAGCGGGAACAAGCGGGTCTTGAGGAGAAGGCCCCCAAAGGCCTTCACCCCTCGGCGTGCGGAGCCGGGGCCGCGCGGAGCAGACGGTTAATTAAGCAGCGAGGGGCGGCAGCGGCCACAGGTTTCTGTGCAGCGCAAGCAGCTTAGGGGCTAATTTCCTCCAAGGGGTTTAGGGCGGATTAGTCCCTGGCAGCAGCTGCGGCCGCGCAGCGCGGGGAGGAGCAGCCGCCGGCCCCGGCGCCGCTGCAGCCGCTTCCTCCGCGCCGCTCCCGGCCACCGCTGCGGACAACGTATAGATCTATATGCTTATTTTTAACACAAGCGCTCTCTGCGGCAGGACAGCGTCATTTGCTGCTACGAGCAAGCGTTGAAGGGCCGGCCCCGGGGCTGGGCTCTGCAGGAAGGGCTCGAGCCCAGGGCTCTTTGCAAGGCGCGTTATTAAAAACCCGTCTTGGGGGCAGGACCCTGGTACCCGCCCTGGCTCGTGGGGACACGATGGAGCCGATGCTTCCAGTGACACCGTGAGCGGCTCCCGTCCAAGCGACTTGATGGGATGAGAGGAGGGACGGGCGCTGGTGACCGGTGGGTTTGGGGCTTTAGAGGGCAGCTCTGCAGGCAGCAGTGGGAGCCCAAGCGGGTTCCTGGTGCTGGTCACAGCCTCATGGGCAGAGCTGGCTCTGCCGGGACCTGGCGTGCGGGGGGCAGCACCTTTCCCATGGCACTCCATGCTCAGCACAGCCTCAGCTTTGGGACAGGGGTCATGGGCCCTTTGGAAGCAAAGGGGCCAGAAGGTGCCAAGCCCTATTCCAGAAACGGGATGGGGGCCCCCATGCCCTGCAGCGGCTCCTTCCCCATGGGAGCCTCACGCCAGGTGCAGGAGCAGAGCCTGGCACCAGCCCTATGCTCCCTGCAAGGGCCGGGAGCTCTCATTTCCTACCTAAACACCGCAGAGCTAGAGTCTATTTACAATAGAGCCAGCTTAAAAAATAAGTTAAAAAAACTGGATTTTATACCCGTTCAGTTCATTATTAACAAGAAGAGAAAAAAAATGGAATAATGGAGAGAGAGAGAAATAATAATAATAAAAAAGCCAACACAGCAACACAATATGGTTTTGGTTTAACATCAGCTTAAAAAAATAGAACCAAAAGGAAACCTCTCATGCAAACACAGAGGGTGGTGTGTAAAACAATGTGCAATTTAATATGTAGCATCATCCATTCTCTTGCTCTGCAGCCTCCTGCTCGGGCTCCCCGCGTCGCCCGGCTCGGCGGCGGCTCCGGGGCCCGCGGGTGGCTCCGTCACGGAGCCGCTGGTGGCCACAGGGAGCCGGGAGCCGCTCCGGGAGCCGGGGGCAGCGCGTCCTGCCCGCGGAGCCGCTGACACGTCCTTGCCATAACACAGTACCGTTGAAGAGGTCCCTCGGGTTTCCTAGTCCACACACATATATATATATAATATATATATAATATCTCTCTCTATATTATATATAAATTACATATACAGATAAATAAAATGCTTTCTGCTGCCTTTCTGTCGCGCTGTTCGGAGCTGCTCGACAGTCACGCTTGGAAAATTGCCCCTGGAGCTCTGGGACTAGCTCGTGTTCTCAGAGTCCACTGCGTCACTTGTGTCTTACTTTAGTCCTTAGCCGCCTCCTCCCATCTTGATTCTTGGTTTAGTTAATAATAATAATAATAATAATAATAATAATAATAATAATAATAATAATAAAAAACGACTCTTGAATGGGTTCTCATCTGTCTCTAATGGAGCAATGGGAAGATCCATGCAGGAATGGTGGGAACAGTCACGTGATGAATGAGATCAGTTCATCCCAACAAAAGAAACAGGACTAGAAAACTCAATTTTGCGACGATCTAAAAAAGGGGGCAGGAATAGTTTTCACATCCCCCCCCTTGGGGCAGAGGGCTCGGGTGGGGTGGGACTTCAGAGATCTTCTGCTCACAGGGAAGCAGATGGGGGAAATCTTCAGAGTTTCTCGAGGGACGGGACCCAGATGTAGTGCCCGGACTGGTCCTCAATGATCTGTTTGATTTTGCTGTAGATTTCTTCGAGAGAGTCTCCTTGTACGATGGCTGCAAGGGGAGAGAAGAAGCAACACGCTGAGCCTCGGGGCCGCACCGAAGGCGCCGGGCACTGCGGCTCTGGCACCGGAGCAGCCCCAACCGGCACGCGGTGACACGGGGGATTTGAGCAGCGTGTCCAAGAGGATTAGAGGGAGCTCAGGCTGATCCCGCGCTGGCAGAGCCGCTTGCGGCTCCGAGGTGGCGCCTGGGCTGCTAAGCAGCTTTGTGACACCCCGGTGCACCCAGCGAGCGCCTCTGCAGGGCACTAACCTGGCCCAAACACCAGCAACAGCCTCGCTGCTTTCCAGGGATGCAGCGCGTTGGGATGGGATAATTGCTGCTTGCTTTAGGGGAAGCAGTTGCCACGCACTGGACAGAAGAGGAGCTGCTCTGCCCTTCTGCCCGCTCGTGATTTTCCAGAATTAATCACGTTATGGACATTAATTCCTCAGTACACAAGGATGCCTGTGTCATGAGCTGCTTGTTTGTGCAGGCACACATTGCCAGGCAGCCCCACACTGACTCTTCAGCAACGACTGCTCAGGAAGTCAGCCAAATTCCCAGTCTTTTTTTGGGAGATGTTTTGTAATAACCCGGGACAAGTCTTCATCATTTAGGTCACTTCTTATCTCTCCGCTTTAAAGTGAGCTTTTGTTTGAATATGCTCCCATTCCCCAGGACAAAAGCACTAATTTCCTGGGGCTGTGGAGCACCATGAATATATGCCGTGCTTCTGCCTACTTTTTCAAATCAAAGGTGGTGACAGGCTGTCACCAACCCAGAAACGCAGCCTGACAAGCCGTGTCCTTCTCTAGGGCAGGTTTACTCTCACGCCCTGATCTCTGAGCAGCCCCTTTGCAGGGCCAGGTTGGCAGAGGGCCCTTTCTTTTCACTTGGGTGAAGCTGGACGTTTTCCCGTGACCCAAGAGCAGGGCAGGGCTGGTAAGGAGGTCACAGCTGCTGCCTTGAAAACCAAAGGAAACAGCCACAAGGCTGCTCAGGCCTCACCTGTAAAATACTCTCCGAACTCCTGCTCGAGTTTCATGGCTTTGTCGAAGACCTTGTTCGCCTGTTCGTACGTCTGCCTCCGGTTCATCTCCCTGCCACGCACAAGAAGCAGAAATTCAGCTCTTTTCTTAGCCATTAACAAAAGCAAAAGCAAAAATAGCCCTGACAGACCAAGGGTGCCAGTGATTCCCAACGCCACAGGCTCTTCTGCTGCTCTGGCAGCTTTGATTGTCACCTTCTTTTCATTTCACCGTAACACAGATATGGACCCAAATCCTCTGCATTTGCCGGAGCACTGCAGAAATCGCTCTGCTTTTCCAGAGTGTGTCACCACCCTCCTTGCCTGGGTTCCCTCGGGTTTATACAACACCGAAAATAAGCAATTCTGCAGGGGTGGCTGCTGGCTTACGAAGGGGGTTTCCCTGTCCCTTTGGTGCCAGCAGAATCCGGCATCTTCAGAGCTCCCTCTACTCCCAGACCTTCCCCATGGATAAGAGTCTCCGCTGCTGCTCCGGAGAGCTGCAGGCTCCGCTCCCGGGCTGGGAGCGGCAGGACAGACTCTCCCGTGGGCACACGGGAGCTGTCCCCTCTCTGGGGTCCCCAGGGCTGGTCCCACTGCAGCCCTTGGGCAGCTCTCCCGGGTGAGCCGGCTGCATCGGCCACATCTGTGAACACCTGAACATCTCCTGTCCTCCCCGGTGCAAACGAAGGGCTTTGAGCCCCATCAGGGCACGGAGGCAGGACGCGCTGAGGGATACAGAGGGTGACCACAGGGGCAGTAACAGGCCCAGCTGCTCCCAACAAGGCCACGTTCAGCAGCACCTCTGCTGCTTCCTCAGGAGCAGCAGAGACAGGAACCCCGCAAGGTGCTGGGCTAACTGCCCCAGGGCAGCTGAGGACACACACTGCACTTACATGAGCGCCTCGATCGATTTTGGTTTGATGAAAATGGCAATGGGATAAAGTTGTGCTTGTTGCAACCTCTTGATAGCATTGCCAGACACATCCAGGATGCAGTGCTTGCCCTGCAAAGGAGACGAGCGGGATCAGACCTACCCCCCAGGCTGCTCCGTGCAAAGCGCAGCTTCCTCCTACGGGCACGTTAGCGGGAAGGGATGGGGAGGTGAAACGCGGTGCCCGGGACACGCTGGCTCCCCATGGCCTCACGTCCCTGCCGCGTGGGGCAGGGCAGCCCCAGCACAGGGGCCCAATCTTTCTCCAGAACATTTACGAGCCCTGGGCACATCTGCAGGGGCAGCACCGCTGCCCAAACACCACTGGGCACCTTTGCCGGTGCCAGGGTTTTGGGCAGCGTTTGGGCCAGGAGGGCCAGAGAAGAGCGAGGAGGAGCAGCACGAGCAGGGAAGCAGCCGCGTGGACTGTCTCCTGCCTCGCTATCGAGGCTAACAGCAAGGGCAGAGCAAAGGCGGCACCGCGGCCGGGTCGGGCTGGACGCTGCCCCGCGGCGCCGCTCGGCACTCACCCTCTCCGCAACCGCCCGCACCGACTGGATGCTCGTCCCGTAAAGGTTGTCGTTGAACTGCCCGGCCTCTATGAACTTATTGTCCTGGATATCCTTCTCCATCTGCTCCCGGGACACGACGAAGTGGTAGTCCTGCCCGTCCACCTCGTTCTCGCGCCGCGGCCGGGTGGTGTCTGCGGGAGAGAGGCCGTTTCACCGGCCGGGGCCCGCGCGCCACCCGTGCCGCCCGCTGTGCCCACCGGCCCGGCTTACGTGGCACGCAGGAGCCAAACTTGTGCGGGAACTCGGAGATGAGGTCGTCATTGACGCGGTCCTTCGTGGGCCCCAGGATGATCACCGGTCTCGCGTAGTGAACTGCGAAACAAGACACAGGCTGAGCCTGGGTTGGTGCCCACGGGAAGCTCAGCCCGTCCCGCAGCTCTCACTGGAGCACCCGGAGGTGCAGCCTCCCTGTGGGCTTGGGGAGCTGCCCTGCTCCTGAGCTCTGTGCCCAGGACATGGCCTCACGGGACGCAGCAGCCCAGGGCTGCCCAGCACCAGCACCTCCTTGTGTATCCAGGCTGGGCTAACGGGATGGCACAGAACAGGCTGCCAAGGCCAGGGCTTCCCAGCCTGGGAAAGGGGCAACAGGGAGTGAACATTTAACAAGGGCTTGACAAAAATCAGCGCTAGGAGAGTGAAGAAGCACCAGCTGCTTGCTTGGAGTCAGATGCTGAACACATCCTTCCCCTGCATAACCTGCAGGACCCTCTGCCACAGCTGGGCACAGTCTCCTCCATGAGCGCTTGTGCCGGTGCCCGGAGGGGCCCGGGGGACGAGGCCGGTGCAGCCGGGGCCGAGGAGCAGGCGAGGGAGCGGGACACGGCAGCGGGACAGGGCAGGGAGGCAGCTCGGCGCCAGCACTTACTTTCTTGCCGCGTCACGGGTTCGTAGGAGAGAATGGTGTCCTCTTGTCCCTCTGAAACGGAGCCAGGGAGAGGCGGGTGAGCGTGCGGTGGTGCGGGGCTGCAAAGAGCCCGTGGGCCCTGCACGGCGAGCCGGACCCCGCGGGTGCTGCCCCACTGCAGGCGCCCCGGCCCCACGCGCAGCATCAGCCCCTGCCAGTGGCCCAAGGAAGCGCCAGTCCCCGAACCCCAACGCCCCCGGGACAACACGGAGGCGCAGGCGGATACGCGGGCGCCCGCGGCACTTACTGGAACTGCTCTCGCTGTCGCTCGTGTTGGACGTGACGCCCTCTGCAAGGCAAGCGGAGAGAGGCTCGTTCAGCGCCAGCACCGGCCTCGGGCCGGGGAACCAGCGCTGGGGACCGCGGAGCAGGGATGAGGGACAAGGCGGGTGCTACGGGAACCACACGCTCTGCTATTCCGCATCCATAGGACAATGCCCGTGCCACGGAAGGGGGTCTCAGGGCCAGTGTCCGTGTCACAGACCCACCAGGGCCTTTGGGTCCCCTTTGGGTCCCGAAGCAGAGGAGGCTCCTGCGTGGTGGGAAGGGAGCTGGCACAGCAGGCACACGGGGGCAGGGGACAACGCAAGGCCACGGCCACCAGCGTCTGCTTGGGGTGGCACCTCCGGACACCAAAAGGGATGGGACAGAGCCGGGGACTCTGCCCGTCCAGGCTGGCACCAGCTCTGGGCACTGCCTGGCCCCAGGTCGGGGGAATGAGGCCTCCGGGCACCCGGCTCCTGCCCGTGGCCACCCCGGCGGTGCCAGCGCTCCGATACCACCAGACTCCGAGCAGGAGCAGCCCCCGCAGGCAGCCGCGTGCGCTCGGGGCCACCGGCTCCCATCCCGCAGTGCCCCGAGCCCCGGGGCGGGACGGGGCTGCCCCCCAGGCAGCCGCCAGCCATGCCCAGGGAGCGATGCGCGGCGAGAGGCGACTTACTCAGGTTCTTTGCTCCATAATAATCGTCACTTAACCCAGGGAAGTCCTGATTTCACAGACAGCAAGGAGGAGGAGGAGGAGAGGGGGAGAAGAGAGAGCGCGGGAGAAGGGGAGGCAGAGAGAGAGGGGAGGAAGAAGACAGAGCCAGGTGAGCATTAGTGACCAGAGTGCAGCACGGCCCAGAGCTGCAACCGCAAGTGAGGTTAAGGAGCGTTTTCCAAGGGCACGGAGCCGTCCGACAGCCGCGTCCCACCCTGCGCTGACGAACCGAGCCCGGCTGAGCCCCCCCGCCCCCCGTGCACCCCGGTGGGCGATGCCGAGGAAAGGGGGCACCGGCACGAGGCGCTGCCGAGCGCGGGGCAGCCCCCGACACCGCGCTCCGAAGGGGCTGCAGCAGCTCTGGCCTCTCGGGATTATCCCTGTCGCTGATCCCTGTGCAGCAGGGCAGGGAGGCTCCGCTCTCCCCACGGAGGCGGCTGCTGGTCCCGTGTCCATGCCCGTGCCTGGCGCCTGCAGCAGCGCGCGGCCGCCACGGCCAACACTGCAGAGCCTCGTGCGGCTCCTTCCCAGCTGCTTCTGGCTCTCTCCAACGGGATGATCTGCTCCCGGGCTCCGGGGTGACAAGCCCCATCGCCCACAGGAGGAGAGGGCCCTGCACAAGCCTAGAGCTGTCCCCAGGGTCCTGCGTACCTTCCTTCTCTCCTGCCTTCCTCCAATGTGTAGGAAGAGCCTGCGCAAGCCCTTGGCCAAGCTGCTGGCAGGGAGGGAGGGAGAAGGGAGCATCCCGCATGGAGCCGGGGTGAAGGGAGCATCCCGCATGTGCCGGGAGCCCGAGGGAGCTGCCGGGTGTTCCCCAGAGTCCGCAGACAGCGGTCAGAGCCAGGTCTCCATCCCTGCACATTGAGTCCCAGCGTTTCACCCATGGGAAGGGCCAAGCTGGCGAGGAAGCTGCTGCTCCGAGTCCCTTCCTTCCATGGGAGGCAGCAGGCGCAGCCAGGACCCCCCTGGCCCCTCAGCCCTTACAAACACAGCGGAATCTTGGAGCAACAGGGCCTGCTCCTTGCTCGGGAGCAGGGAATGGAGAGGGGAACGGAGGGAGCAGAGCCCACAGCAGAGCAGGGAGAGCAGGGGGAGGCAGAGCGGAGGTTGAGGCGAGTGTAAACTTGTGGAAAGGATGAAAACACCAAACATGAGAGACAGAGAGAGCGGCAGAACCTGTGCACACGCAGAGGGTGGAGGCTGGTGCGGCCGGACACGGCACGAGCGGCAGGGCCGCCTGCTGCCACGGCTGGGAGCTCGGCGCGTGCGAGGGACAAGGACAAGTGAGGAGGTCCCCTCAGCTGGGTGGCACCTGCCCCACGCGCTACACGAGGTGCTGCTTCTGCTTCTAGCTCCATTCCCTCCCTGGCAGAAGCCGTGGGCGAGGAGCCCAGGACCTCAACCAGCCGCCGAGGGGAAGCCGGGCAAGATGCTGATACTTCTCCCACCAGCACTCAGCACGGGAGGGAAGGTGCCTCCTCCCCAAGGCTCCCGAGGGAGACAGGCTGCTCCTAGGGCCACATCCGTGGTTATGCCTAGGAAACCGCTGGCTGTGCTGAGCTCTCCTGCTCGGAGGCGGCCGCTGGGGGTTGCACGCTCGCCCTCCCTGGCCAGCTCTACTTACGTTCCTGTCCGCCGCTCTCCTGGGCCAGGTTCTCTTTGCTCTTGTAAAATGGAAACTTTCGAGAGAGGCGGAAACTCTTTTTACGTTTCGTTTTGATCGACTGTGAAGAACATGGAGATGGAAGGGAGGACAGAAAAAAACAATGGTATTTAACGCATGCAAGAAAAATTAAAAATGAAGAGACAATGAGGAGCTGCGCCAGGGCAGTTACCTTTTAAATGAAATCATGAAGATTACATGAGAACTATAATGCAGGAGAAAAAATTAAATGTAAAGAAAAATGTGTTTTTAGGGATGTTGGGAAGCTGACTGGACAAACCAGCAGTTTGGCAGGAGCAAGGCCATTTCTCCCTTCCTCATCTCTCAGCTCAAGCACTCGCTCGGAGGGAGGTCACACTCGTCTGCGTGAGTCGCCTGCAATCAGCTCCAAGCCACCGGTGATGTGCATGGGCCATGGTGACACGTGCTCTGCTCCCTGCGTCCCTGCACGGACACTCTGCTAGGGACCCGGGTATCCTTCCCATCTCCTGCTCCGAGCCCCACACACTCAAGGCAGACGCAGGGAGAGGTCCGGTTGTGCTGCTCTTTGGATTGGTAACGCTCCAGCTGCCACCGGAGCTGGGAATGCTGCGCTGGGATTCCTCCTGCCCCGCTAGCTACAGGCTCAGGACGAGCTGCTGCGTCCCACCTCGAGCACTTACCCTGTTAGACTCTATCATGCCAGTCCTGGCGTGGAACTTCACTGTTTTCAACCGCGCTCTCTCCTTCTTTTCCACCCTGATTGGAAGTTAAAAGGGAGAAAGATCTGCTAGTCCTGCGCATGTGATGCTCGCCCTGCCAGGCCCACAGGGTGCTCGGCTGCCCAGGCACCAAGGAGCATCCTTGGGTGGTGGTCCCTGCTGCGAAGCAGGGCTCCTTTCCTGGGCTGGACCGAGGTGGCAGCTTGTCCTGGGTCTGAGTGGGACCCCGGGAGAGAGAAAACCACCCTCCAAATGTGCAGGAGCGGGAGAGGGAACAAACCAGCCTTCCTGGGAGGGATGGAGGATGGATGAGGATGGGGCACGCATGCGTGCAGTGGGCTCCTCCTCGGCTCCGGGAGGAGGCCCGGCAGGGGATGAAGGCCAAGCTCACCCTCCCGACAGCAAGGATGAGCGTTTCCTTTGGAGAAGCCGTGTGGCGGGAGCAGGGCTCTGCTCAAACCCTGCTCCCGTGCCACTCGGCTCTGCCAAAGGACGCGTTAGCGCCGACTCCTGCAGCGGGGGATGACTGCTGTGCCCGCAGGAGCTGTGCAACAGCCAGCAAGCGGCAGGCAGGGGACACCACCTGAGTGACAGCGCCCGTGCCCCTCCAGGACGGGCCTGGATATGGGGCCTGCAGGGGCTGGAGACCTGCAGGAGGCGGGTGGAGAGCTCCCTGCTCTCCAGGCTCTACGAGACTTGGCGCCCAGAGCTGGACAGACTGCCCTCGGCGGCAAGGACCGCCTCGTACGTGTGTCATTGCCATGACTTTGCTCCCACGTGCAGCCCAGAAGTGGCTAGTGACCCTTCTCCATCCCCACGGGCACCGCGCGCTGGATGTGACGCGGCGGGGGGCTCCCGTCCCAAGCCGCAGTCAAGCCCAGCCCCGGTGCCCGCTCAAGGAGACCCGCGCCCAGCCCCGGTGCCCTTCACGCCGCGCGGTCGCAGCGGGACGCACAGACGGGCTCTGAGCGCTGGCACCTGGGACACTGCTGCCACGTGGCACCAGCTCGGGGAGCGCCGAGGGTCCCCAGGGCTGCCAGGCCACGGGGAGCAGGGCCAGGGCGGCTCCTGCCCATGGCACTCACCTCTTCTTGCTGGGGATGACCCCGATCTGCTCGCTCTCGCCGTGCGGCGTCACCAGCCTTGCTTGCCACCACTCGTCGTCGGAGGCGTTGATGACGTGGAGGATGTCCCCGTAGGAGAAGCTCAGCCCCTGGCTGGGCAAGCAGCTGTCCCGGGTCCTGTCATAGTCAAACAGGGCTCTGCAAAGCAGCAGAGAGAGGAGTGAAGCCTTCCCAGCTTGTGCAAGCAGCAGGCCAAGCAGGTGAGGGCAACAAGCCAGCGCTGCCACCCTAGGATCCTTAAGGATTAAAGTCATCCCTGGAAAACCGCCTGCTGTGCTTAGCTGACAACCCTGGCACAGGCTGGAGCGCTCAGCGCAAACCCAGAGGCGCGTGGTGCAGAAACGCCGGGTGGGGACAGCGGGTTTAACCCCACCGGGTGGGGACAGCGGGGTGCAGAATCACCCGTCCCGACCAGCAAACCAGCTCCCGACCTCAGCTGCAAGGAAAATCCCTGCGCTTGGAAAGCAGGTCGGCGCTCACACATTCAGAGCTCCCGCGCTCTACAGAACATACAGAGCACGAGCACAGCGTCCGGGGCACCTCCAAAGAGCATCCCCGCTCCAAGGGCACCTTCCCTCCTGCCGGGTCCTGTCCCGCTCTCTGTGCCAAGATGACAGAAATACAACTGTGTGTCCCCTGTACGGCTCCAAGAGATGCTAGGGGCACAAAAGGCACTGCTGATCTTCTGCTGATAGAATGTTCCTCCAGTGCAAGCGACACGATGCTTTAGACCCAACACTGCACTGGCGACCATCCCGTCAGGAAGCTGCTTTCCAGGATACCAGGAAACTTCTCAAAAATCCCCCAATTCTCCATTCCAACCCCAGGAAACTTCTCAAAAATCCCCAGTTCTCCACTGCTTCCCTCATGGGCACCAGGTTGAAACCGGGCTCAGGCACCACCCTTGCAAGGGACAGGAGCAACCCGCAGCTCGGCGCTCCACGTGGACAGGTCACCATCTCCTTCCCTTTCCTGTCACCTTGCTGAGAGATTCTCGCTCGGAGAGCAGGAAAAACCAAGCATGCAGAGGAGGGAATCCCCTGCACAACACGTAAGGGGCTGCCTTTGGAGAGAGGAAGGAAACACAAGCAGCAACCCGGCTGCTCGCCACCCTCTGCAGCGCGAGCGGCTCTCGGGGGGCCTCGATGGACGCAGCACAAGCAGCACCCAATTTTAAGCCGCGTCCCTTGACCTGCAGCTCCAAAACCAACACAGGGGGTGGGCGGGTTGTGTCCCAGGCTCCCAAAGAGCTGCTGCCCACATCCCACGGGCTGCTTCCCAATGCACTGACCAGGAGCCCTGTGCTCGCCCCGCGCTGCAGCTCGGGCAGAGAGCCGGGGAGCCACAGGGAAAGAGCAATTCCTGCTCTTGGTCCCTCGTGGAGCGGATGCGGCTGCAGAAGCGCCAAGAGGCAGCAGGAGAACAGGGATCCCCCCTCGGCTCCACGGAGCAGGAACCCGGCCAGCCGCGTGCTCGGCACCGCGCGGCCCCTTGGGGAGCAACCCCTGGGGCGCTGCTCCCTGCCAAGAGATAAGGCGGCCCCGCGCCAGGGCCTGCAGATAAGGCGGCCCCGCGCCAGGGCCTGCGGGAGCAGCCCCAGAGAACTGGTCAGGCAGGTTCCAAAACAAACCCAAAGTCACCGTGGGGCGGCCGCGGCCTCCGAGGCGGAGCCTGTCCAGCTCGTGCTGCTGGCTCCGGGATGTGGCTGGATCCTGGGAGCAGGGCGAGCTCCTCCGCACGCCCGGAATGGGATCTTAGGACTTGCTTGGCCTGTGTGATGCTCCCGCACCAAGGCACAAAATGCTCCGGCATGTCCACGGTGCTGGTGGGACGGGCGCTCGGGTCCCGCTCCTTGCTGCAAACAGTCCTTGGAGCAGATGGTGGCCACGGGGCCGTGCCAGGGACCTGCCGGGGCCTTGATCCCGGAGCCAGAGCCCCCGGCGGCCCCACGTTCCCGTCCCCGGCACGCAGGGGCCGCCAAGGACACGGGCTGCCCGCTGACACCAGTGCCGCCCGTAATTGAGGCCCTGTCCGCAGCAGCGCTGGTTTCAGGAGAACCGGGCCCGAAACTACCCCGCCCAGCAGCGCCGGGGCGGCCGCGCGAGCGGCGCTTCCTCCTCGGCCGGCCCGGCCGCGCTGGGGAGGCAGCAGCTTCCATCCCAGGATCCTGATGGCTCCTGGAAGATGCCCGACACCCGGAGCATCCCAGAGAGCAAAGGGACCCTGGGGTTTGCAGGAATGCAACCCCAATCCCAGGTTCCGGCGTGCTCCCTTCATCCCGGAGCCGGCCCAAACGATGTCACCGTGTTGATGGGGACTCGGGCAAGGCGGCGCTGGAGCCCGTCCCCTCGGCCCGGGGCTCCCCGTGCACAGCAGCCCTTGCTGCCGCTGACGCGGCTACGCCAGGCGAGGATTTATGGGATTATTTTAATTAACAAGTTAAAATTAGTCGCTCGCCATCGCCCCAACGATTCTTATCTGGAGCGGAGGTGCTGCAGGCGGCCGGGAGAGCGGCAGCATCGCGTGGGCCCGGGGCTGCCGCTTCACCCCCGCGTGCTCCGAGCCTGGCCCCGAGCCAGAAGCACGTGTAGGGATCAAGGCAGGAATCCCGCTAAGAGCTGCTCTCCCCGCAGCCAGATCCTGCCCCGGGAACAGCAGGGAGGAGATGGAGAGGAGGCAGTTGGAGCAGAGCGGTTAGCAGTGAACGCTCCGCTCCGGCGCTGCTCCTCCTTCATTTTACCTGGCCTGTGCCTTCATTTTCCCGGTCACATCTCCTGCCTCAGAGCGCGGGGAATCGTGCCCCCCAAAGGGGCACACAGCCCTGCACAGGGCGGCTGCCAGGACGCAGCGGCCCGACCGCAGCAACGAGCGGCTCTTGGCTAGGACGGCACCGACGCATCCTGCCTCCTTGCGCCCCACGGTCTGGCACGTGCAGAGCCACCAGGACAGCTCCCGGGAAGCGCCCGCTGCCCCACGGCTGACACTGCCCTTGCACATGGCTTCCTCATCAGCACCGGTGCCGAACCGCATCGTGAGCTCAAAGCACCAAAAGCAGCATTCCTCCCTTGGGAGGAAGGGTCTTCTCCTCCTCCTCCTCAGGGCAAAATTGTCAATGAGATCACCAGGTCATTCCCAAAATCGGGAGGCGGAAACGAGCGTGGAGCTCTCCCACCGCCCATGTCCATGATCCCATGCAAAGGACAGACCTGTCCCAGCTGCGGGACGCTGTGGGACGATGCCCCGTCCCACCCACCACATGGCTCCATCAGCGGGGACGTGGGGGACACGGGGGACAAGGGCCTTACCGAACGTAGAGGGATCTCTTCTCGCTGGTGCGCAGCGAGCCGGAGCCGGAGCTCATGCTGCTGTTCATCATCTGCTCCCTCAGGTCGTGGATCTTGGACTCGAAGCGGCTGTACTCTGCGGAGAGAGGCCCCGTCAGCGCTGGCGCCGGCCGCTCGGGGATGTCCTGCAGGGACCTGTGCCCTGCTCAGGCTCCCACCCTGCGCTCTCCACCGGCAGCAAAGCCCCTTGTTCTGGGCATGCCATGGGAAGAGGGACTGCTGGGATGGGGACAAGGCAGGAGCCCCGCAGGAGGCAGGAGCCAGTGTGCGGCCGGTGCCACCTCCGCTCCCGGTGCCACCTGCGCTCCAGGAGCGCTGGCACCCCGGGGCACAAGGCGCATCGGGAAGCGCTCCCGGCCGCCCCAGGGAAAGGGCAGATCGGGAATTCGCCGCCGGCCGCCCCACCTGCGAGCGCCGGCTCCCGCGCCCGACCTTCGCCTGGGTGTAAAGGTCGGCGCGCGAGGCCAGGGCGGAGGCTCCCGCTCCCCCGGCGCGGGTCGGGACACGCTCGGTCCCGCCGGGAGGGTGGCACTGCGGCCGCACCTGGACAGAGCCGCGCAGGAAGCCCCGCTCCGGCCGAGCTCCACGGGCCGCCAGGGCCTTCCCGGCCCCGGGAATCTTTTGCCATTCCCAAGGGTTGTGAAAGCCGGCACGAGCGTTCCCGCCCGAGCGGCGGCGCGTTGCCCTCCTGCAGCAGATCCGGAGCGCGCGGCCAAGCGCTGCCGTGGCTGCCAGGCAGCCAGGAGCGTGGCCGGGATGCGGCGCTGATCCCAGTTCATGTCCAGCCCGGAGCTGCCTCCGTGGCTGCCGGCACCAGGAAGGGACCGGGCGCTGCCGCGAGAGAGGAGCTTCCCATGGAGCAGAGGGTCCCGCTGCAGTCCTCAGGCTGCCTTCATCCCCTCTAAAACAACCCCCGAGGCCCTGGGCAATCCCTGGCACTGCACAACCAGCCTCGGGGTCCCTTCCTGTGCCCGAGAGCCAGAGCAGCCGCTCTACTTGAAACAAGACTAAAAAGAAACCAAAACCAGAAGCACAAACAGCCCCGAGCGCCGAGCTGCACGAAGGAGCCTCGCGGGGGCCTCTGAAGCTCTGCTGTGCCCGAAACCCCCAACCCAGCGGTGACAGGGAGCGGGAACGCAGGGGACACGTCCCCCCAATCAGCAGCAGTGAAAAGCAAATGGGGGGCACGTCCCCCAACTCGGCAGCACCGCGAGGAGCCGCTCGCCTCTCATGCAGCTTCCCCGGGCACAAGGAGCTGGCGCGGAGGCTGTGCGCGGGGCGCCCTCCCATTCGCATTCCAGGGCCCAGCAAGGGCCCTTCCCTGCGACTCCCGTTTTGCCACGAGCGCCACGGGGCTCGGAGGGATGGGGAGAAGTTACCTGCAACAAGGGGTCGGCCGGAGGAGGCGACGCGCGAGCCGGGTGCGGGGACACCGGCTTGCCCCGGCTTCATGCCCAGCACCATCCAGGCCGCTCCGCGCCACTCTCGGCCTCCAAAGCCTCTCCCAAAGAGCGCCGGGCCCGCGGGACGCGGAGGGCGCAGGGAACGGCGGCAGCTACGGGCACCTGCACCCCGGGGCGGCGTCACCGTCGGGCTCCCGGCGCGGCGTCACCGTCGGGCCCAGCCTGGGCGGCTCCGGCAGCTCCGGAGCGCCGCGGTGCCGGCAGCTCCTCCCACGGCCTCTCCAGAGCCCCAACGTCCTGCAGGATGAGCCGCTTGCAGAGGCGCCGCTAAGGACGCCGAGAGCGGGGCCAGACGCCTTTGTGGAGCCCACGGATACGGAAACGAGGCGACTTGCCCTTATTTCAGGCAATAAGGCTGCACGTGCCCCTCTCGCCATGGAGCCTCCTCCATGAGGAGCTCTCGCGGGTGCCCGGGGATCAGACCGGAGCTTGCGGAGCAACACGCGGCTGCTCCGGGCCCGGCCTTCCCCCCTCCCCATCCCTGCCCCAGCGGAGCCTCCAAGCCCACATTCCTTCAGGAAAAAGCCCCGGGGATTGGGGCTGCGCAGGATCCAAAGCTGGGGGATTAGGTATCCATGGGGCCATTGTCTGCCCCTCTCCCCGGATAACAATCCCTGCTGCAATTCCGACCAGGATCCCGACGCTCGCTTGCCGGCAGATCCCTCGTTTCTATGGCAAATGAGCCCGGCAAATGGAGGCAGCGCCCGGCGACGCAGCCGGACGGCCACGGAGCGGCCCCCAGGGCACCGGCTACCGGGGATCCGAGCGGCACCCAGATGGCTGCGGAGCTCCAGTGAATCCAGGCTGGGATGCCCTGCTCCCAACGTGGAGCAAGGATGCACCGGTACTGCCACGCTCCAAGCTCTGGAAAGCTCCAGGTTCCTGCTCCGTAGCCACAGCTGTTCCACTCCATCTGCTTCCCAAAGGCTTCCCGAGGGCGACGCACGGCACTCGCCTGGGATCCGGCATCTGCTCCTCATTCCCTCAGGCCCATCCGCAGGCACGAAGGACGCCTGCAACTGCCTTCCAGACACGCGGAAGCCATGGAAAAAAGTGTCGTTGGAGAGGGAAGCAATTCCCGGGCATGCAGGAGCCCCAGGAACAGGCCCCGTTCCCTCAGGCCCATTCAAAGGAGGTCCAGCAGGTCCCCAGCTCCCTCCGGACACAGGAGACACTTCCATTCCCTCCGCGCTCCCAGCCCAGCGCTGGTCACACGCAAAACCTCCCGGCGCTTCCCGCTTTCCTCTCGCTTCCCGCTCTCCTCTCCAACAAAGCGTTTTATTGCGCCGATTCCCCAGGGCTTTGAACCGGGGGGTTAAAGTCCAGGCACCTCCCGCTCGGCAGCTCCGGGCACACACAAACCCGGGCAGCTCCCGACGGCTGCCGCCCTCCGCGGCCTCCTCCGGGCGCCCGCTCCGAAACACTCCCATTTTTGCACTTTAGATTAGCAAAAAAGCAGGATTTTGTTCCCCAGGAGAGAAGTACCCTCACCCAATGCTTGCAATAACAGCGGACAAAGTTCCTAGGAAGAAGCACTTCAAGGAGAGGGACTTCACGGCCTCGCAGCTCAGACGCGGCTCCCTTGCAAGGCAGGAGCATCTGCACCAGGTGCTTGGAGAGAAGGAAAAGCTGCGACTGCTTCTTCCATCCCGCCAGCTCCGCTAACTCGGCTCTCCTTCTCCGGGCATCCCCGGATCCATCGCGGATCCAGAGGGACCCCCCGCCTCCCCAGGGAGCTCTGGCCCTCGTGCTGGGTGTTAGTGCACACACATGCGGCGGGATGCAGGAAAGCTGGGAGCAGCAAAACATGGATATCTCAGCCAGGGTCTAAAGGGGTTTACAAACAATCCGCCCTCTCTGATGTTTGGAAACCTCCCAGGCCCCTCTTCACTGGCTCCATTGCCAAATGTCAAGTGGCAAATAGAGCCAGAAAAGCTACAGCACTAAGTACTTCCTGGAAAAAAGAATGAGGCCAAAGAGCCCCACGGCCCCAGCGGAGCCCGGGAGGCACCGAGGGCCCTGCTCCCAAAGAGGCTTCACTTCCCCCGGGGAGCTGGGACAAGGACCGGCGGCTGCAGGGCGCTTCCCACCAAATGTCCTGTATGGGAACGGCGGAAGGGAAAGGTCCGAGGAAGAGCAGAGACACGAGTGGGGGGTCACACACGGCGCGGGTCATCCCGGGCACCACAGACCCTAACCCTGCAGGCTGACAGTTCAAAGAGAGACCTTGGAGCTACAGCCCCCTTGGGACACTAGAGCAGAGGGTCATTAAGAGAGAGGGATGTAAATAAGCAGGGGGAGAAGTCAAACGTCACAGGAGACCTTTGCACGGCCAAGAGAGACTCTGGAGCTCTCGGCACCGCAGCAGCTCCCAGTGGGTCCATACTCGGGCCCTGTGTCCCTAAGGAGCATCCCACTGGATAACCGAGGGCTCCCTTGGATTCTCCACACGTAGCAACCGGCAAAGCACCCGGCACACGGAGGACACGTCGGGCCAGGACCCGCAGGGCCCGGTGCTGGGGTGAAAGTTCTGCCCCAGCCCGAGCAGGCGGCGCCCATTGGCAGCGGCACCTTTGGGAGGCGCAGGGAAGAGGAAGGCGCTAATTAGCGCTGTTGTTATGGTAATGAAGCCGGGGAGATACCGGTGCCGGCCCGCGAGCACGGCCCGAGGTGCCGGGGCTCGAGGTAACGGCGGGCACGGGCAGAACCGCTCTGCGCATCCCGAAACGGGCCCGGCCCCGCGCCGGGGACCCCGCGTCCCGGGGGCGGCTCCAGTGGCGGGGCAAAACGGGAGCCCTCTGTGCCCGGGGCCACCGGAGCCCGCGCTCCTCCGTGCGGGATGGATCCCGGAGCACTAGGGACCTGGATGCTCCCAAGGAGCGGAGGGACTCGGCTCTCGGCCCCGGCCCGCGGATGCTGGGGAGGGTTCTGGTGCCCCCCCCTCCAGGCCCGTGAATGGCCCTGCGAGCACCGCGGCAGCCGGGACGGAGGGAGCTGCCCCCGGGATCCGGAGGATCCTGGAAACACGGAGCGGCCACAGAGCGGAGGGAGGGTCCCCGGGGGCAGAGCCAGCGAGGGCCGCGCGCGGGCGGCGGGAGCCCCCAGCCGGGCCCCGCGGCAGCGCAGGGAGCCCCCGCCAGGCCCCTCGAGCGGCTCTTTGAAGGCCCCGCAACGGCAGCGCCAGGCCCCAGCACCCCCGGCCGGGCCCCAGGGGCCGCAGCCGGGCCCCTGCAGACCCTCCAGGGCCCCCGCGGCCAGAGCGCAGGGCGAGCCCACCCCCCGCGCAGGGCCCCCCGCCGCGGGCGCTGCCTCCCCGTGCCGTGCCGTGCCGTGCCGTCCC